CTAATAAATAGAAACAAATAAACAAAATAAGAAATTAATATAACAATTAAGTCATTTAGTTAATAGAATAATTAAACTACATCAACTCAATTAAAAGATATAATTTTTTTAAAAAAAAAAACTGTTGTTTTTAATAGGTTTAATAGGTTCGGAGGTCCTTATATTTGTGGGTTCGTTTCAATTGGGTCCTCCAATTTTGAAAGTGATCAATTTGGTCCCTTATTTAACAAAATTGAGTCAATAATACCCTTTCCGTTAAATGTAATGGACGTCGTTAACTTTTTAAACATGTATCATGTTGAGGCATCCTTTTATTTGCAGGTTGTACAGTTTTATTTGAAGGATGCTTCAACATACCACATGTTTAAAACGTTAATGTCGTCCATTGCATTTAACGGAAAGGGTATTATTGACTCAATTTTGTTAAATTAGGAACCAAATTGATCATTTTCAAAATTGGAGGACCCAATTGAAACGAACCCACAAATATAGGGACCTCCGAACCTATTAAACCTTTTTAATACAGACTGAAATAAAAAAAATTGAATATTTAAATTATGCGAAATTTGAAATTTAATTAAAACTAAAACCAGAAAGCCTTTACGTCATACCTTGATTCTGAGCATTGAACCTTGGAAGAACTGAAATAGCAGTCATCAGTGTCTGGACAACGATCATGACAAATTTGAAATTTAATTAAAAAAAAAAAAACAGTAAGTCTTTCATTACCTTCACCGTCGCATTCAAGCCTCTGGTTCATACTGAAATAGCAGTCAAAAGGAGCTGAACAATGATCATGACAGGCGAGAGGAATCCATGAAAGCTGAAATCCATAAAGTAGCGCTGTGTGGATGGTGGCATAGGAATATTCATTTGTGTCCAAACCCCACCAAGATGTGGGAGCAACCAGCTTTACATCACAACCAACTTCTAAGTCCTCTGCTGATAGGTAACCAGCAAAAGCGTACATGTAACCCTTGGACTCCCAATTCACGCATCCACCAGCACTCACATACTTAGGGTTCCCTCTCACTCCATGACTACAATTCAAAAACACTATATACTCGTACAAAAACTTATCACTATCCCAATCACGGTACCAACTAAGGTAGGGGGGACTCAAGGCGTAGTCAAAATCAGTGAAATTGGTGTGAGAATAAGTGAAATTGGTGGGAGACAAGAAATAGCGAGGAAGGGAGGAGCAGTTTGTGGGTTGAAGTCCAGGATCCGCCACTCGGATTGTGAAATTATTGTAGTTGATAGCCTCCACACGAAATGTTCCAGAGAACAGAGATAACACCGTTATATTGTTTTCACAAGATAACTCATACCGACCGCACACTTTTGGGTCTCCTTTCAATCGGAATGGATAAGATATGTTGGTGATTTTGCCACAGGAAGAGGGGGAGCAACCATCTCCTCCATCAATTTGGTGGAGTAGAAACACCAAAACTATCAATGATCTCTCTCTCCACATCCTCATGCCTAATATCTCTTCTGTTTCAACAATTCTACGGTCCGATCCAAGCTCATATTTAAAGGCCAGTTTCACAAAGTTTCAGGTTAAATAATAAAAATATTATAATACTTAAATAAATATTCAATATTTAAAATATGGAATTGGTCAACCATGAAGAGATACTCGGAGTGTGTCTATCCATAGGGAGAAGAAATACTCATCTCTCTCTAAATATATTTTATGTAATTATAATTTTAAATTTTAAATTCTCTCTCTAAGTATGTTTTATTAAATATAATTTTAAATTTTAAACAATACTTTTTTTGAGAAAAAGTTTAGTACTTTTACCTATTTTTTTAAAAATTAAATATATTTTTTAATTGGACGATTAATTTTATTCAAGCTAATTAAGTAATCAAATTTATATTTATTTACTTTCAGATCAAGTTTCTTTTTTATAATTTTTATGTTTTACGTGATAAAACATTGGTTAATGTTGAATATTTTTCTTTTAATTTGAACTACATAACAAATAAAAAAGGTAACCATAATAAATAATAAAAGAAAT